ATGGGCTGAATACTCATGGCCCCATAGGCCACATTTGGCCCATGGGCTGGAGGTTGGGTATCCCTGGTTTAGACTGTAAACTCTAGAGCTGGAACAGTCTTTTTGTTGGATGTTATTCAGCATGTTGTGCAATGAGGAACTACCACAATAAAATACAATCATAAATAGATGCCAAGTCAATAGATGCCTAGTGCCGAATAAACCTGTTCACAGAACTCAAATTAGTATCTCTGCTAAATTCTATGATGGAAATGAGAAATGTCAATTATGCTTACACCTAGCAGAGCAAGCTGTTAGACTTTCATGTTTTCCCACTAATGCTGACATCTTATTACACAGCCTAGAATAAACAGAAGCATTTTTATGCAGGTCATTAAAGGCTAGTAAAAGGCTAGATAACTTGCTAAATGTATTAGACTTGCTCAGTAAAAGCTAGAGTACCATTTGACATCTGTTTTTTAGAGACTAGTTTCACCAGAATGAGAATGAGGCTTTGGGAGGGTCACCAAAGATTAGAAGCCTGATTTAGGTGGAATTTAGACATAATTTTTAAAAGAATTTAGGAGAGAAATATTGAACAGGTAACTGGAAAACAGCCAAAAAAAGGGCCTTTCATTAAAGCCTGAAGTTTACTCTCTCTTAAATGAAGTTCTCTTTATGCATAGGCAAACTAGGGAAAATTTTCCCCTTGGATCAAAAGTGGAAAATATTACTTCTGTCAGTACAAGCTGAAATCCTGCACTGCAAGATTCTGTAACCATTGGAAAGTCATAGGACAGTTGGTTAAGAAATCTTGTGATAGTGCAACAACTGAAAACAGCAGCATTGTGCACAGGAAGATGGGAAACTGAGATGGCAGGCAGGTGTATCTGAAAAAGAGTGGCTGAAAATTTCTGAGTAAAGCAAACAGTTAATATACAATAATCTCCCACTTTGAAAATCTTTTCCATTTCTGGGGGGAAATATTTCAATGTACAAGATCCCTTGGACAGTGGCAAAGTATAGATACTCTGGGACTTCTACAGAGCAGGTGAAGTCAGAAGACTCAGCATTCTATAAAGAAGAAGCTAAAATGATTCTGGAACTGCCATGCAGAAGAGGGCCCCATTCCTGTGTCAGATAATATGAATGAGACTGACAGATTATACAAATGCTGCCAAGAAAGATCCAGAAGCTACAAATACCAAAACTGTCTATCCCAAAATGAAGCAACAACAATTAGGGACATACTAAGTAACACTGGTGGACATATCACCCCTCCCTTGAACCTATACAGAAAATCCTCAAATAACTGCAACCCATAATAGTAGGGTCTCCTTCTAGTAAAGAGATCTTCCCAGAACTACCCATCCTAGCCTTTAAACAAGCACTGATCCTTGCTAACATCAGCAGCAGAAGCAAACTTCCTACAGTCCAGAACACACCGAATGGATCCAGACCATGCCATGACAAGAAATGCAAAACCTGCCAACACATCTCCACCCTCCCCACAATAACTGCACCCTACAACATAGCCATCAGCATTCCTGGATCTTACAGGTACACCTTCAGAAATGTTATATATCTCATCCGATGCACCAAATGCCCTGATGGAAAATACACAGGAGAGACCAAACAAGCACCAGAATGAACACACATCAGAAGTCTACTGAAGGCAAGAATGCCCTATTATCTGTGGGGGCACATTTCTCACAAGACAACCACTCTCTCTCCAATCTCTCAGTTCTAATCCTCAAAGGGAATTTACAAAACACTTTTCACAGATGATCCTATGAACTTCACTTTATCAACCTCCTGGATACAAAAAATCATGGACTAAATATAGACACTGGATTTATGACACAGTATAACTTGCCTGACATCTGACTCCCCAGGTACCTCTCCATTATTCATCCCTCTTCGCTCCCCCAGACCCAGCCTGTCTCTCACCCACTGACTCCTCAGATTACATCTTCACTGACTGCCTATCTTGCATGCATACCAGCCCAGCCTCTGGCTTCTTTACTATGCATTCCATCCAGAAAGAGTACACACCAACTGAAGATGCTTCCTCAGCCTGACAAAAGGTTTTTAAACTCGAAAGCCTGCTAAGAAAAAAATTTCCAAGGATTTAATTTGGCCTAATAAAAGATATCAGATACACCCAAAGAACCTTGTCTAATGGTGGAAGAATACACTTCATTTCCTTGCTGCAATCCAACATTTGTTAGTCAACTTTTCTAAAATTCTGCTCTGGAAACACTGGCACATAAGTGGCTACCTACTAGTGTTTCAAGGGCCTACATTTTTTTGAAACTAGGGTAATCTTAGTTTATACTAGTGAGTTGAAGCAAAAAGAGATGGAAGTCAGTCAATGTGGCATATTAAAAAAAAAACAACCTCAATTAAATTTTTAAATCTGAGCAAAGCATATTACCTGATTATTATTCCTGTTTTTATTATCATTAAAATAAAATCAGAATCCAGAGGTTTCTAAAGAACATGTACATTCTGTAACATTTAATTAGTATGTCTATTCTAGACATTTTTCTTCTCTTGCACCTATTTTACCTTTCAAAAACAGCAACATTTCAATCCAAAATGTCAGTGGGAATGGCAATCCTAAAAGGATAATATATTTCAATGCCTATTGCCATGCAAATTTCCTAGTTTAAAATAATCTATCCTAAAACAGCTACATATCTGCTCACAGTATGCATATAGGAGAAAAAATATTTAAATTCAGATTATTACATTAAACTCATACCATAGGAGTTTGGAACTCAAATAATGCCTGCTCAATGTATTGTTAATGATTTCACTCACATATTCTAAAACAAATGTTCTAGGACTGTTATCCAGGAATCCCTGGTAGTGCATAGAGCACTTGGTAGAGAGCAAACTGGTTCTTCTTCATTTCCAGCATATGCAGTATAATAAGGGAAGCCATTACAGAACTGCATTTAAATAATGTCCTAATATTTCTTTGGAAATATTAGCTTTCTAATATAAGCAGTAGCTATGGTTGCCAAAGAGATGGAATAAGATCATGGATAGAAAAGAGATGGCAGTGCAAGCAGTGCTGAATGTGACAGGAAGTCAGTGCACTTGGCAAATTCTCTCTCAAAATGCTGACCAAATTTCAAAAAGTTTGAGAAACCATTCTGTAGGCTACAAAATTCAGCATGAACAGCTGGAAGTGGGTTGAATTCGTCTGCTATATTGCAGTGTCTTTTGTGATTATTGTAATTTTGACAAGATAATAATCTCTTGTGGATATGAATTTTTAAGGTTCATAAAAATAAAATAAGATTTATTATACAGTCTGTCAAATTATTTATGCAACCTACTTTTGCTGCTTTGAGAGAAAATCCTATCATCTCACATAATTGGAGAAATCTTTCCCTGTTCTAGTTTACAGCAATGATCAATATTGCTAGTGTACAAAGAGAACCAGTGGTACAGGACCTTCCAAGACTCACATTTATCAAAGGTGATAGGATATATTTATTTTCTGCAGTGTTATGTAGCTTGGAGTTAAGACATTGTGTGGAACATTCACCACTCCGGTGAATGACTAGGTCATTCACCGCTTGTCCTTGAGCCTTTGGTGCTCTTGAAAACAGAGAAATGAAGCCACATGGACAGTAGTAAATTTGAAATGGAATGATCTGAAATTGTGTGTCAGCTTCTCGCCTATCTCCATCAGAACCATCTTTACTATCTACATATCTTGCTGCCTCTTTAGTCTTATTTTTAGGCCAGAGTCAGTTCTACAGCACGGCAGGAGTATGGCTGAACAAACGCTGGCAAGGGCAAGAATATCATGTAAGATTTTTGCCACAAGTCACTTTTCAAGATGAGGTGACGTACAGAAGACAGAAGTTGAAACTGGAAAGGAATTCAGGGATGATGGGAATTCAGAAGTTTAAATCTCATCTGGGTAAAGTGAGTTTTAGCTTCAGAAGCTAACAGTTTCTTCGGGGAAATTTGAGGTTGGAAAGGGGGAGGGAGCTGTATTTGCTTTTCTGTCATGCAAAGATGGGTGTGGTATGGCAGCCACTTCTTTCTAACTCCATATCTATATCGACTTCTTCAATCTTCTGGTCAGGACACTTCACCAACCGACAAAATCCATAAACTTTGCAGGAGCTTAGAAACCGCAAGTATACCTTGTTTAACCCTGACTCAGAAGGAAGTTATTCCCCTTGGAAAACATTTTTTTCTTGGAAGATACAGCATAGTAAAGGGTAATTATCAGAGTCAAGTACATAGTTCAGCTAAATCATCTTTCCAAAAGACTTTAAAATTAAAAGTAGGGTGAGATTAAAAGTAAGTGATAGATCATATGATTTCCTATACACTTAGTCCACTTCTGAGAAACAACACTGCCCTCCTGATGATTAAGCATGACAGGAATGGAAGTCATGACTTGTCTGTAACTTTTCATTGGACTTGAATTTGTGCGATTCCTACTGACTGATAACTCATGTTATAACCACTCTGTCAAAAGCAGTTTTACCATTTGATGAAAATTATAAAATAATCTATATATAGATGTATTTCAACTACAAAAGTGAATTATTGTCTGACATGAAAACAAACAATATAATTTTATGTTACAAGGTTAGTGCTTTGGAAATATTCAAAATAACATTTATTAATTCTTAAAGACAAAACACTAAACAAATATATAAACAACATAAGCTTTCTATTAACAAAGTAAAAAAAGGGTTAATGGTGGGGCGGGAAGGGAATGAAGTTCTAGTACAGTGGGTTCTTAATCTAGAATATAAAACATGCATTGATCCAGAAACTGGTATCATCTTCTAGAGAAAATAGGATGGATATATATGCTATTTTTTGCTTCTTTAAGAACTCTTAATATTCTTTACACACCAAACTTTTATTTAAAGGAGGGAAAACACAAATCACAACAATTTCTTTTCATGCAAGCATACAAGAACCAAGACAGAAATGTTAAGTTGAATTTTGGATGCAAAGAAAGTTACTTAACTCACCAATCTTTTGATGATTCTTAACAAAAGCTTCTGCTGTCTCAGATCTCTTTTGGACTTCAGTATTTTGGCAAAGCTGTCCATATTTTCTGGAGACATACTTTCTGGACTGTCGCCGCCATATAGCTGAACCAACAATGACAAGCATTGTGATGCACTCTCATATATTTCACTGTTTTCACTTGGAAGCTAAAAAAAAGAAATGCACTTCAAACTCATATTTCACAAAATCTGTATCATCAGGATCTGTGAGACTCCTGTGAAGATATATTTGTACTGTGGTAGAAAGCAACAATTTCCAATCATCTTATTTTAAAACACAATAAAAGTTTATAAAAGATTTATAAAGTGATAGAAAGACATTACTGAGGGCCCTTCTACATGTGCTGGTAAATGTGCAATGGAGCCTAATGCATGATCCACACAATTGTGCCTCCCACCATGCCACATCTGCTTGGCAGGAGGTGTGATTGTGGGATCATGTATTAGATTGCACTGTTGTGTCTTATCATTGGTACACTGAGAGCCTGGGCTCGATCCTGGGCTCCCCTGGGCTCACAGTACAGGGAGCGGGGAGAACACTGCCCCATTGCTGGCCTCATGAGGCATGGGGCTTGCAGTGGGGAGAACACTGCCACCACTGCAAACCTTGTGAGGTGTGGGGCTTGCAGTGATGGCAGCATTCCCTGTGAGCCCCACAGCCAAAGACACTACTATCATTGCAAGCCCCACAGCCAAGGTGGCTCAAAGGGAGTGGGGAGGAGCAGCATTTTCCCCGCTGCAAACCCCACAGCTGACAATGCTGTCACCACTGCAAGCCTTGTTAACTGTGTGGCTGGTAGCAGGTGGTGCACTTCTGTGGCTGGAAGCCCCTTAATTGATGGGTCTCTGAGCCACAGGGGAGCACTTGCCCACACATTCAATTAATGGTCTGATTAGACTAGCTACAAAGTTATTACACATTTTCTGTGGAATAACTTTGTAGCTTATTGCTTGCTTTATCATGCCATTAACTGGTTGAACATGTAGCTGGGTCACAACTTAAGGCATGATTACCTGGTTAATCACACCTTAAGTGTAATGTGTAGAGGGGGCCTGAAACACAGATTAGACTGTAAAAGTGTCTATGGTACATTTATCAGGTCGTATCGGTCTAGAGGAAAAAGCAATCAGGGCTTGTGGTAGAGGTGATATCTTTTATTAGACCAATAAGATTTTTTGCAAAAAAACCTTCTTTAATTGCAAGTTTGCAGGCACAAACACTCTTCATCAGGCATCGGAGAAAAGATTGTAAAAGTTCTCCTGGGTAGAAATGAAAGTTCATATTTCATAGGATTTCACAGAGGAGTCAATAGATGGAAAACTCCTCTGGGCAGTCAGTTCTTAGCTGGTAAGGAGTCTTAGCTCTCCTGTGAGGTTCTGTGATGATGCAAATTACCTTAAACAAAGGCAGGAGCAGTATCTCCATTGTTAAATGGATTTCATCATTGATTTGCAGAACTGTTTGTTTTTTTTTGCTTTCAACAGCATTTTCAATAGATTTTAAGGTCTGACCACTATTATAATCCAATCTGATCTTCTGCATGGTATAGGCCATAAAATTGTACCCTGCTGTTCTTCCATCAAAACTATAACAACTGTTGACAATGATAAAGCACATCTTCCAGAAAGACATTCAATTTTAGTTTAAAGACAGCAAATGATGGAGAATCTACCAGAGCTTGTACATTGTTCCAGTGGTTTAATTACCCTTATTTTCATTATGAATTTGTCTTCATTTTTCATCCATTGATACTTCTTATGCCTTTGCTAGCTGGATTAAACAACCTTCTAACAGCAGATATCTAGATATTTATGGGCCGTAATCAGATCACTTAACGATCTATGAGATGACATTTCTAAATCTCTTGCATTCTGAGGCAAATTGCTCAGATAATTCTTGTAGCAATTTTCTGCACTTCTTCTAAATCTTTTCAAAATATTTTTTAAACACTGGACATCAAAACAGGCCATATTTATAGGATTAGGGTTCTCTCTTCTGGGAAACAGTGACTCTGAAAAAGACACAGAGCACTAGGGCTGATAATCTGCTGGACACAAAACTTCCAGCACAGTTCTGGAAGTTTTGATCCATTTGCTCTGGCAACCCTCAAAGGGGAAGGAGCTCTGAAGCTGAAGAACAATTATCAAAAACAACCCCTTACATGTTTTTGCCAAGGTGACTTGGTATACTGATGATAATAGCATGAAACTGATCTCAGCTGTCCTTGGGGATTTGCAGTGGGACATAAGGGAGAAGGTGGTCCCTTAGGTACCTAGGTCTCAGACCACTTAGGTCAAAACCAGCACCATGAATTACAGCTGGAAAGCTTTTGGAAGCCAGTGCAATCTCTGGAGCAATGGAATTATGTTTTCCTGGCAACTCATGCCCATCAGAAAGCAGCAGCTGCAGCATTTGGATGGTCATCAAGGACAGCCCCACATACAGCATATTGTAGTAAACTAGCCTTGAGGTTATGAAAGCATGGATGATGGTGGCCAGATCCAAACATGAAAGAATGGGTCATAGCCTTCTTACTGGATTGACATGGAGATGAAGATGGAGAGAAGTACTGCTAGCCACCACTAACACCACCTGCAAATCCAGGGGCAGCAGAGGATCCAGGATCACCCAAGGCTCCAAAACTGAGTGAAAAGGGGAGGTTGAACCCCATTAGTCCAAAGCCAACCTGTGTCAAATGGTCTGCCCACCACCATCAACACTGGCTAGTCTGGATCTAGTTTTAATTGGTTCACCTGCATTCAACCCCCAACTTCTACCAGGCACTGGGGCCCAGGTCAGATGAGAAAGAGAGATAGAGATGGGTGTTATAAGTATGCTTATGGCATCTCACTTGACATCTCTGCACAGTCTCTACCAGCAGCTTCATATACATGTTGAATAGGGATGGTGACAAGAAAGAGCCATACAAGAAAAGTTACAAGGGGATGGCACTTACCATTACCCTCTGGGACCTCCCTGCTAAGAAAGAGAGGAACCAATTTAAAGCAATCCCACTGATACCTACCAGGTCATATAAATACTTTATTATACCTTGTAGCCATGTGTATCAAAACCTACTGAAAGAACTAGTAAGATCAATGAGGAACAACATCCCCCATCTATCTCCAAGTGAAGATCATCAACCAAGGCCACGAGTACAGTCTCTGCTGTACCCAGGATGAAAGCCTGACAAGGGTCTAGAGACTCCAATTTCATCCAGATGCACCTTGACTTGTTAGGCAACCACCCACTGAAAGACCTCTCTCAAAAAAAGGGAGCTTGGAAACAGGGCAAAAGCTGGCTGGGAAGAGTTTCTTGAGTAGGGGATGGGCAGTTGCAAACTTAAGGACACCTAGCACCCTCCTCTTCCAGGAGGGAAGCACTGACAACCCCAGCTCCAGTCCCCTTCAGCTGGCTTTCACAAGGCAGGCTGGGCACAAGTCTAGTTCACAGCTGGTTGCTTCCATTCACCCAAAGCACACCCTCTGCATCAGTGTGACAGCAACTGAAACTGATCCATACACAACAGAGACATGATTGAACTTCCCCAACTCTGAATTCTGACTGCAGCAAAGAAGTGGCAGTCCCCGAGCTATGCTGGAAACGGGCAATTTTTGTCTGCAAAGTAGGTGGCAAACTTCACATAGTGGACTGTAGATGGTTTTGGATCAAAGAGTGGCAGTTATGGAAGGGAAAGTGGACCAAGAAATGAGAAGTGAATTGGAGCACAGAAGCAAAGATTGAGTCTGATGGAAGATGGACAAAGGTGGGGAAGAGGGAGGAAAAGAAGGTAGGAAAGAAAGGTGGGACACTTGATCTAGAAATAGTGTTCCTGTAGTAGTTGACCACTGTCAAATGCATTGGTAACATAACCACCCCATTCCCACTCTTTTATAAAGAGCTGTATAAACGAAGAGGAATGGACGGAAGAAAAATGAAGGTTTCCTTGAGGCGATAAAGGAAGGAATAGAAGATCAAAATAAACAAATTGGAGAAGTTAAGTATGAGAGAGGTAGAGGATTGCTTAAAAACTTGCAAGAGAGGTAAGGTGCTGGAAAGAGATGGATTTCTGGTGGAATTCTATGAAAAATGTTGGCAATGGCTGGGGACAGATATACTAAAGACATACAGGGAAATAATGGGGAGATAAGGGAGGATTTTGCAGAAGGTGTGGTAATTTTGATATTCAAGAAAGGAAAGGAAGATGTGTTAGGCAATTGGAGGCCAATAACCTTTTTAAACACAGACTACAAAATGATGGCAAAAGTACTGGCCAAAAGAATGTGTGACTGCTTAGCAGATGTGATACAAGAAGAACAAACGTGTGCTGTTCCTAAGAGGAGGGTATCCCATACCCTATGGTTAATGAGAGATTTCATATTGGATGTGCAAGACAGGAAAAGAAACACAGTAATAATTAATTTAGACCAGGAAAAAGCTTAGAGCTGAACATGATTTCATGTTTGAAGTATTACGAAGGATGGGGTTTCATGCAAAGATAATTGGATGGGTCAAAGTGTTATAAAGTAATGTGGAAAGAAAGGTTCTTTGGGTAGATGTGATATGTTTTATTAGATCAACTAAAATAGTTGGAAAAAAAATGCTTTGCAGGCTTTCAGGTACAAACACCCTTCTTCAGGCATTGGGGGACTCTGCTGCTGTTATGAGTTCTCCAAGGCAGAGAAGAAGCTAAAGCATAATAAGAAGTCTGTGAAAATGTAAATGAGTGGAAGTCTCCAAGACAATAGGTAGAGATAGGAGGGGAGGGGAGATGTGTGAAGGAATGTAAGTGGTCAGCTTCAGGCAGGTAACCTGGTAAATTAGATGTCAGGCAGGTTATAAAGTTATGTGTCATAAATCCAATGTCTATATTAAGTCCATGATTTTTTGTATTTAGTAGATTTGTGAAGTTCGTAGGCTTGTCTACAAAAGGTGTTTTGTAAGTTCCCTTTGAGGATTAGGACTGAGAGATCAGAGAGGGATTGACTGTTTTGTGAGAAGTGTACACCCACAGGTAATTAGATATTTTTGTCTCTGATGGATTTTCGGTATGTATTCATTCTGGTATGCAGTTGTTGTTTGGTCTCTCCTACATATTTTCCATCAGGGCATTTGGTGCACTGGATGAGATGTATTACATTTCTGG